GGCGTGGGCTACCAGACCTGATGCAGACACCTGACCGACAGCAGCTACCTGAGGAGACGCAGTGGTCAGTGTGTAGAGACTCGACCCCGGCCGACGGGTAAACGTAGCCAGGTGACGGCCGGTCCTGGAGCACGTGCAGATCGCCACACGCTGTCCGCCAGGGGTAAAGGTGTCAACCCACTGATCCTGGAGGACAGCGTTGCTCACCAGGTTCGTCGAGAACGAGGGGAGGTGGAAACCCGACAACGAGCCAGACGGAACCGCCGGACAAGGGAGGACAGTGGTGGACTGGGCAAGGACTGGGCCCCCAGAGGGGTCAGCCAAGGAGACTGGGACCGGTGCAGGAAGCGGTGTGAGCTCAGTACTGTCACGGAAGAAGCAACGGGAAGCACCTGAGTCAAGGGTGAAGGTGTGACAGGCCTCAGCCGGTGCGGTACCTGAGAGAGCAGTCTCTGTGGGTGCTGTACCTGAGAGAGCAGACTCGAAACCAGCCGGGACAGCACTGGGGGGAGCAAGTACAGGGGGCACCATACCAGAGAGAGCAGACTCACTAGTACCCAGGGCAGCGGGCTCTATACCTGGGTCAGGCGGCACACACAAGTAACAGTCTCCCTCGGCACTAACAGTCAATGCATACATGGCAGCAATAATAGCATCATAGTCAAGAGCAAAGACATCAACACCAGCCCTCATGAGCTCAGCCCAGCGGGGGCGCTCAACATCCGCACCCATCTCCTCACGCCAAGCGTCGTCAAGGCGGGAGAAGCAGCGGTACGGGGTGTGGAACCTCCCACACGTCTGTCCCTTGCGGTCACCTGTGCGAATGACATAAGAACAGCGGCCACTGGCCCCCGACGTCCCACGCTGAGCAAGCCACTCACGAAGCTGCTGGGTCGTCTGGGGACGCTGCTGCTGCTGGGAGCTCTGGCCCGAGCCAGTGCCTCCACTCCGACCTCCGCCACCACCACTACCACCGCTCCGACCGCCACCGCCACCACCGCCACCACCGCCACCGCCGCCACCGCCGCCACCGCCCTTACTGCCACTGCTTCCTCCGCCGCCCCCGCCTCCACCACCGACCCCACTCCCACCAGCGCTCCCGCCACCGCTCCCTCCAGCACCGCCTCCCCCCCCACCTCCCCCACCTCCTCCCCCCCCAGCGCCACCACCACCACTTTTGCCCCCCTTGCCCTTGCCGGTGCGGCGCCTCCCACCAGGAGTAGAAGCAGCGCCAACAGACTCAGCACCAAGGAAGTCAACAGCAGCAGCAGCAGCGTAGGAGGGAGCGAGGGGAGAGGGAGAACACCCCTCAAAGATGGGGGTGCGAGGAGCGCCACGAGCAGCACCGACAGCTACAATGCTCTTTTCGGCCGCGAGCAGCTGCTCCTCTAGGAGGGCGACTGTGAGCTCAGTGGGACAGCGAGCAAGGAAGTGGTCTCGAACTGAGCGGAGGGTGTCAGGGAGACGGGTGACTATGAAGTGGAGTGTCCAGTACAGTGGAGGGGGGTTCTTAGTGCAGAACTCGGTGGGAAGGGCGGCACGCAGGCGAGCATCACTAGTGCGAAGGTGGGTGATAAGATCGGCGACTGTAGTAAAGGTGGACAGATCGGGGAACAGGTACGGCAGCATGAGGCGGCTAAGCTCGGCTGTGGCAGGCGAGGAGTAGCGAGCGACGACAGCATCATACAGGGCCTTAGCGGATTTGCAGTCGCCAAAATGCTCGAGCTCAGCTAGCGGGAGGTGACTGCGAATGGCTAGGCGAGCAGCTGCGTCACGAGTCTGCCAGTGGGAACGAACACTAAGCTCGGCTGTGGCAGCAGGAGCAGCGGCAGCACCAGACGCGTAGTCATAGAGGGAGATGTGGTCCGTGCTATTGCTCATAAGATACAACTGCAGGTCGTCGAGCCAGGAAGTGAACTGCACGGGACGGCCCTCAGCATCGAAGGAAAGAACGCGAATAGAGGCCATAGCTCAGGCGTGAGGGCACAGCAGAGCAGCGGCAGCAGCAGAGGGGACGCGCTAGAGCGAAGCTAGCAGCCACAGCAGGAGCAAGCGGCGGTGCACAGGCAGGGAGCAGCGGGCGAGCGGGCGACACTGCGAGCGGGCAGCAAGCGGGCGGGCGACGCTGCGAAGCAGGTAGCGGGCGGGCGGGCGGCGCTGCGAGCGGGCAGCGAAGCGGGCGGGCCGCGAAGCGGGCAGCGGGGCGAGCGGGCTGCGAGGCGGGCGGGCCGCGAAGCGGGCAGCGGGCGGGCGGGCGGGCTGCGAAGCGGGCAGCGGGGCGAGCGGGCTGCGAAGCGGGCGGGCCGCGAAGCGGGCAGCTAGCGGGCGGGCGGGCTGCGAAGTGGGCGGGCCGCGAAGCGGGCAGCTAGCGGGCGGGCGGGCTGCGAAGTGGGCGGGCCGCGAAGCGGGCAGCGAGCGGGCGGGCGGGCTGCGTAGTGAGCGGGCCGCGAAGCGGGCAGCGAGCGAGCGGGCTGCGAAGCGGGCGGGCCGCGAAGCGGGCAGCGAGCGGGCGGGCGGGCCGCGAAGCGGGCAGCGAGCGGGCGAGCGGGCTGCGAAGCGGGCGGGCCGCGAAGCGGGCAGCGAGCGAGCGGGCTGCGAAGCGGGCGGGCCGCGAAGCGGGCAGCGAGCGGGCGGGCGGGCTGCGTAGCGGGCGGGCCGCGAAGTGGGCAGCGAGCGGGCGGGCGGGCTGCGAGCGGGCGGCTCGGCGAGGGGCGCGCGAGGGCGCTAGTGAGGGGCGCGCGAGGGCGCTAGCAAGGGGCGCGCGAGGGCGCTAACGAAGGGGCGCGCGAGGGCGCTAACGAAGGGGCGCGCGAGGGCGCTAACGAGGGTGCGCGCGAGGGCGCTAACGAGGGGCGCGCGAGGGCGCTAACGAGGGCGCACGAGGGCGCTACGAGGCTAGGGCACGGGGTAGCGTGGTAACCGCATGCGAGCGGTGGTGGGCCCTTAAAAAAAAAAACGGTCGGTAGGTCCTAGGGACCTCCTGCTCTGAATACCATGTCAGAATAACTAGGCAAGAATGAATGAACTAACAGAAGTTTGGGTACAAATATGAAACCCTAGTTGGGGTTGTACCCCATATTGGCTACCCCACTACAGCCTACAAGCATACTACAGTTTAACACTGGTTACTACAATGCAAGGGCTGCAATAATCGATTGTTCGGTAACAATTTAATTCAGCAATGTTGTGTTACCAATGTGTTACCAATGGTGCTACAGTATGTGTACGGATACTCTGAACCATGATCTTAGTATAATGTTGAAACCACACCTCATGAGTTGACGCAAGGTACATCATAGCAAACAACGATGTATGCTCGCGCAATAGTCGTTTTGTTGGTGTGGCCACCTTTGATACCTTTCAAGAATTGCACTGGCTACTAGAGACAACCTTGTTAGCCATTTGGCACAGCAAAAGTACACATCGTTATGTATCGACACATACAAACAACGGTACAATAAATGCCGAACAAACGAATCAGTCGTATCGAGTCTGCCGCCCATCTTGCCCGTTAACATTTCAGTTATAATCGACTTATTACCGGGCATAACAAATTTAGTAGCTTGCTTGTGATGTCCATTCACATTTCGTATGGTTGGGCATTAAAAAATTTCATAACAAACATTTAATATGTCGCACTAATTCCGTTGCTTTAATTACTACGACGTAATTTGCACGCGCATTTTACAGCATCGCGTACATAGACATTATGGCCGGCCAATTGCAACGATCATATGGCCGGTCATACAACACGTGTAAATGCGCCCGATCCAAAATGCACGGATTTATGGCCGGTCAATTACGGCTTTCACGCGATTGGTCAGTTATTGAGCTTCGAATCTTATGCATCCGCGCATATTGCACTGGGATATTGCCGGACAGAAAGCGCGGGGATAAGACTGGGCAAATACTGTTGCTCTTGATTGGTCGTAACATATGGCCGATTCAATTTCAGTCGTACATTCATGTGTGGTGTTGAAATTTGACCAGTCAATTTTGTCTGGCAGATGATTGGATCGCGCATATCAGCGCCATATGCGCGTGTGCGTCAACCCTCTCGCGCTTCAGGTCAAATGAAGCGTATTTCAACTCATACATTTTTGCAACGTCCAGGCTGCGGTTACTTCGCAACCTTATGTTTTCGCGTCGGTGAACATTGCACGAAATGCAAAAAAAGACCCCGTAACATTAAAAGTACGCACGCGAAAAAAGGTAACCGAGTTATCACGCGAAAGGTTCGAATGTGTACTGAAATTCCTGCTCGTTTTGAACCACGTCATATACAATTGACAAATTCCACTCGATATGTTAGCCAGAACGCCAAGTTAGGGTTAGATAGCCCTTAGAGTGGATCCTAAGCTTCTACCGTCCTAGGCATCTAGCACCCCACCCTATCAAAAGATGCATTATTCCCCTGCATAATAGCGAACGGCACGCGAGTAGGCCGTGGAAATGTCAGGTCGTGCAGCTCGTGGAAGAGGGAAACGTCAGCGAAAACGTGATGGCACATCAACGCCCGACGTGGAATCGGGAGAGGAAGACAGTGTTCGTCCGAGCGATAGGCTAAAATTGGCCGCCGCAAACGCGGCGACAAACAAGGAGGAGTGCGCCACGCCGTCTGATTCGGGGATTTTGAAAATAGCACCGCACGATTATGGAGTGGAGCCGGAGTTTGAGACGCCGATGGGAGCCCTGGACGATCTCATCGCGAAAATCACCGGTGGTAAAAATCTCCCGTTCCTGAATACACAATAACTGTCTAGCACTACTGCGAGGAAGTTTAAGCATCCCTTTTTCCCCACGAATGCGATCCGCGTCCATCACGGCATGACGGCCGTGATCACGATGGCCGACGCTCTACACATCACGGCTGATTAGCCGATCACGCAGCCGCTCATCGATTTCCATAATATATAAGTGCTCTGCAAGATTCACGCAAAATCCTGGGCTATAATGCATGCGTGAATATCGCACATTCGATTGTCTCACCTGTGTGCCATATGATGTACTCTCTATTTCACCGCAGAGTGCTCAACATCCGCGGGCCAAAGTTGAGCAACGGCAAGACGTGGCTCGCGTTGGACAGTCAAAGTTACGAGTACTTCTGCTCTCGGGGCAAGATTGCCAGTGAAGACACTAGGCCGTCGATCTTCAGCTTCGACTATCTGGCTATGCCAATCTACGGCGGGTAAGTGCCACGATCCCTTTTGTGGTCTAGGATTGAAGCATATGGCTGCCGGTGTTGCTTTGCCTGACTGTCACATTAGTTGTGTTATGGGGTTGTCGTTGCAGGTTCCATTTTAGCGTGATGATTGTGGTCAATCCAGGAGTTGTGACCCTCCCGCTCGACGACAACACCCCCCCCCCCCCCCCCCGCGTGGTTGCTGCTGTACGACTCCCTTGGGATGCATGTTGTGGGAGGCAATGCATTCAAGAACATGACCAAGTAAGTGTTTAGAGACACCCACTTGTATTTCCCTTACAAGCACAATAAAATGACCGTGCGAGTTTATGTGTCATGCATTCGAACTTCCATCGCATCCCCTTCCTTCCCACACACCCTCACAGCTTGCTCGGCATGGCCTTCGAGAAGGAGCACGGAAACCGACCTATAGAGGAGATGAATTCGAGGCTCGGGAGATTCCAGCCACACGTCATGGAGGTATGTTTACCTGTAGTATGCTCGTATAACTTGCAACTATGTTACATTATGCGTGCGCTGTCTTGCAACCGATGTAACCCTGCCGCAACCATGCAAGGGGTGCACCCTTGGTCACGATGTTGCGAAACAGCCCCCCTCGTGCTTTCGGGTGTATGGTGCCAATGTGTTGAGTGCTACATTCTGTATGTGCCTGGTGCGTTCAGTTTTGTTTACCGCTGCATGTGCCTTTGCTGCCTTGCAGGCGTGGCAGATGCCTTTGCAGCAGAACGATGTTGACTGCGGCATCTTCGTCTGCCAGTACATTCATGCGCTTGTGGAGGCGTGTTTCGAAGGAGCTGAGAACGGGGTGCGGTTCAGCATGAGCCCGTTGGCGTACCGACGTGGGTTACGGGAGGATGTATGCGCTCTTGCAGAAGGGCGGCTGATCGGCGAGCTCACGGCAGCTGGGCATGAGATCCCTCCTGGTAACGAGATCAGGAAACCGCATGAGGCTGAGGTGATTGGCGATGAGGTGGAGGATAAGGAGTGGAGAGCGGAGATGGCTGAACGGATGCATAGGCTGGAGGTTCGCAATGAGGGTCAGGCGGTGGCTATTGCCAAGCTCGAGAGGCAGTTGCGTGAGCTGATGCTTTCCCGTGCTCCGCAGCATGGCGTTGACGGCGAGGCTGCAGGGGAGGCACATGGTAATGAGGCAGGGGACGATGGAGCTGGTGAACAGGCAGGTGTGGAAGGCAAGGGTAGGGTCAATGCTGGCACACACGACAGCATGGGAGCGGCACATGGAGAGGGTACTGTGGCTGCGGGTGCACCGAGTAACAGTGCGAATGTGGGGGTGCGTGCTGAGGGTGCTGGAGGCTTGCTGGGTGCTGGCGAGGCCGTGGGGGCTGGCGAGGCCGTGGGGACTGGCGAGGCCGTGGGGGCTGGCGAGGCCGTGGGTGCTTGCGAGGCCGTGGGTGCCGGCGTGGCCGAGGGTACTGGGCATGGGTTGACAGCCTCGAACGCCGATGTGGATTTGGTGTCAGCATACAGCGCAGGGACAGAGACGACGAGTCGCAATAACGCGCGTGGTAGAGCTCCTAGCTCAGGTTATACAGGAGTAAGTAAACGGGAAGGTAAATGGGTGGCGAAGCTGTGTGTAGATGGTCCTAGAGGCAAATTTTTAGCGCTGGGACGGTACACCGACATTCTGGAAGCCGCAACAGCCTATGCCGCGGCCGCTCACATCTGCCGACCGTCCCTCTCCGGCTCAAAGATGGTGGAGTTGAACGAGGAGGACAGGAGGTGCTTGGAGGGTTTGACGTTGAAAGGGGTTGAGCGGATTGTGGATGCCAAGCGGTGGCCGGAGTGGAGGAACTGGCGTGCAGTGCTCAGCAGCCTCCCTGAGCCTTCCACCCCAGCGGCAGCAGGAGTTCACACACAGGCCCCACCTCCCTTTTCCCACCAGCATCCTGGAGCCACGTTTGGCTACCATCAGCCAGCTGTCGCCTTCGCGGGACACGCCGGTGCGACCCCAAACCAAGGTGGATGGCAGCCGTACAGCCAGAGCCACCCTCCTCCCAACCTCCATTATCCATCCCAGCCATTTCCATTCAACCATGTCCCAATCCACCCATTCGGCCAAGTGCAAGCACCTATTTCTGTACACCCAGTCCGTGCAGTACCCATTGCTCCCAACCCTGCAGGCCATACCGCAGCACAGAACACAGCACCCCATCCGCATGTCCTACCTACACCACCAGCCGTTGCACCCAGCACGGCACAACAGGGAACAGACCCACACGCCCACCAGGTTCCGCCCTCTGAGGAAAATGCACAGGCCAGGGTAGCTGCCATGACAGATTCCCAGCACAGTCTAAGCATGCCCACTGCACCCAACGACCCCAACCCCCCGTCGCACGGCTCCGCACTGGCAAGTGAGCCAGCAACAGGTGAGATGTGTTGATGTGTCATAGTTTTGCGTATCCATAGCTACTCAAAATCCTAACCATGTAATAATGTTTTGAATTTGTTTTATCCCCGTCTTTGTGCAGGGGCAGCAGACGACATCATCGATGCCTTCCTAGGTCAAGCAACGCAGTAAATCCTGTGACATTTGGTGACACTGGAATTGAGTAATCCGTAAACATCAAAACGATATAGTTAAACTATGATATACATGCCTAGATCCTAACCTGACGTCCCAATAGATACATATGCATAGCAGTATAACCCTCCGCCTCTGCCTGCCACATGAAAGGTGTTCACAGTGTTATCTAGATTTATGGCAAAACAAGACTCAAGACAGTAGCCACGACGTACCAAATATACTCAGGGAAAATAAATTTTTGGATTTTCTGTTTAGGTTTTATAAGCTCACTAATCATCATAAAAATTGCGCGCACATAAAGGTTATTGCGCGGCCTTATATAATATATGACTGCGCATTTGTTTGGACGTTCGTTGATTGGACGCGCAATGTCTGGTCATATCGTGCGAGCAAGACAAACCAATCACGCGCGGTCATCTGATTTCTCGCAAACCGACGGCCGATCATTTCATTATATGATCGGGAACTATACGATGGCACCTGATTGGACGCGCATATCTCCTGACCAATCGAGCGCGGTCGTTTTTGCAGAGTCGGTTCGTTTCGGATCAATTGCAGTATATGATTGCGAGGTCATATGCTCGTTCGCTGATTGGATGTGAATTATACTGACCGCGCGCTCATTTGTCGAGCATTTGGACGAAAATGACCGGTCAATGTACTGTTGGTCAATGTACAGTGAGCGGGCCACTTTTGCGTCCGTGAGCCTGGCGAAATTTTCGGGTGCGGAATAGAAGGGAACACTACCTAAGGATAACCCTCGCACGAATGGGGAATTTCGTGGCTACAAAGCCCCGTAGGGTAATGTGCCGAAGAAAAAAAAGCCAGCTAAAATCCCCTGGCGTGGCCACTCGAGTCATTATCACCAAATTTGGTGGCCACTCGAGTCATTCGTGGCCACGCGAGGGATGGGGAATCACGTTTTCGGCCACTGTAGTCATTCTCTCAAGGTGACGTCTCTAGTCGCCGTGACTTTCCCTGTCTCCACAACACGTATCACCCACCCTTTGCTCTCCGGGCAGATTCCCAAGTGAATTCCCCATTTGGTCCTTGGGAGAAGCTTGTGATCAGGTCCGCCGCCTCTCGGTATTGCGTCATGCAGCCCCAAACGCGCAGAAACTCCAGATTCGGCTTCCTTTTGTAGAACGCCTCGTGAGGGGTAACGTCTGCCCTAGACCCTTTGTCGGTAGTCAATTTTTCAGCCAACACGCCATTCCTAGCGCGTCTCCCCAGTAGTGAAGGGGCAGGTTGCTGTCGGCGAGCAGGCTCCTCACACCCTCCAGCAGTGACCGGTTCACCCGCTCCGCAATGCTGTTGTGTTGAGGTGTGTACGGGACCGTGAGCTGCCTTCGTATGCCCTTTGACTTCAGGTACGTGTTGAACTCGGCGTTGACGAATTCTCCCCCATTGTCCGTGCGTAACACCTTCAGCTTCTTGCCGCTTTGCCTTTCCGCTTCCGCTTGCCAATCGAGAAAGCTCGTGAAGACTTCCGACTTGTTCTTGATCTCAGTCACCCACGTGTGTCATGTGCCAAGGTCGGTGAAGGTAACGAAATACTTGCTGCCATGTCGTGAAGCCACCCGCATCGGTCCACACACGTCGGCTCCCACAATAGCCAACGTCTCGTATGGCGCGCGTCCCCCATGCTTGGGATGTGGCGCCTTGGTTGCCTTCGCTTCCACGCATGTGCTGCACTTCAAATTTTCATCTCCACCCTCGGCTACCTTCACACCCGCTGCCATGTTCTTCTTGATTAGCTCCTTGATTTGATAATGACCAGCGTGTCCCATCCTCCGATGTAGAAGGTTTATGTCAACCGTGCTCACTGCTGCTGCCATAGGAAGCGCCTGCTGCTGCAACTCCTTGATCGGCACCCTTTCGAGCTTGGTACAAAGCTCATCTCGAGCCACCTTGCCCGCTTCCGGTTCAGCCAGGTACGTGGCCTCTTCCCCACTCTGTTTCTCTTGCAGCTTCATTTCGTACAGCCCCTGCTTGCGTGATCCTTCCGCTATCACCTTCCAATCCGCGCCGAAGACCCATATGCTCCCCTTGTCGCTGAAAGTTTTGCATCCACCGCTATCCAGCTGCGATTGACTAATGAGGTTGAGCGTAAGCTTGTCCACCAGCAGCACGTTGTCCAGCTTCACCTCACCATACGCACTTTGTAGCACTAGATCTCCTTCCCCTTTCACAGGAAGTTTCCCCTCGTCTCCCAACAGCACGTACGGGATCAGTGATGCTCTAAAATTTTGCAGCCACTCCTTCCGATTGGTCATGTGTTGGGTACACCCACTGTCCATGTACCACTCCTTCCCCTTAAGACCCTTTGCAAGCAGGCATGCTCCCGATGCTCTTGCAACATTGGCCTTGTGGGCTCCCCCGAGGATGACGTCGTCATCGCTGGTTTCCGCTTCGGTGGCGTTGATCTTTGCAGGTACGTTCTTCTTTTGCTGCTGCTGCCCTCCCCTAAAGCTCTTGCTCATTGGGTTGTTGTAGCAGCCAATTGCTTTGTGCCCAAATTTCCCGCAGTGGTTGCAGTTTCCAGCAAAACCGCCTCTTAGTCGTTGTCCTTCTCCGCTTGCTCCTGCTGCCTTTCCTCTGAAATTCTTGCTTTTTGGGTTGGAATAACAGTCTACAGCCTTGTGCCCTTTCTTCCCACAGTGGAAGCAAGCTCCAAATGATTTTCCTGCCCCTGTTGCGTTCAACATGGCAGGTTTGTCGTTGCTGAAGTTGTCCGGCAGCGCCTCCCTTCGCTCTTCCTCAACACGTATAAGCGCCACGTCTTGAAGGGATTCCACTAGGTCCGTCATGTCCGTCGGGCGTCGGCAGGCCAGCATCCGCTTCTCTGCTGCCCATGACTTTGGTAGACCGCCAATGATGTAACTCATCATTTGCTTCTCCGATTCGGGTACTCCCATAGCCGTCAAGTCGTCGTTGTAGCCTTTGGCACGTCCCACGTAGTCCACCACCGTCTCGGAAGGTTCCATGGCCAGCAGTATGAGTTTCGTCCTCACTGCTGTCATTTTTGCCTCGCTTTTCCTGAGGTAAACTCTCTCCATGTAGGCCCACGCCTTCTCTGCTGCGTTGTCCTCCTCAGAAAACGGGTCGAGTCGTGCTGCGATTGAATCCGAGACCGAGTGGCAGAGTTGAAAGAAAGCTTGTTGGCTTCTTTTCTTGAATGTTTTTTTCTCTTGTGCGGTTGCAGGTGCAGGTCCGTCTTCCTCCGTCGCTGCCTCTGGGTTGTAGAAGTGCCACAAATCCACCTCCCGGGCGCGTCGCATGAACTTCAGCCGCCATGTGCCGTAGTTCTCTCCATTGAAGCGTTGCGCATCACTTAGGCCAATCGTCGGTTTGGCCACAATTTGCCCCTTAGCAAGGGCATCCAGTAGACTCTGCAGCTGCGCACCGTCAGTGTTCATTGAGGATCTCGAACTGGTCTCTCCATCTCCTTTCCCCATGTCGGTGAATATTCGCCCGTTCTAATTACTCTATATTTAATAACGCCTCCGACACTATTATAATGAGGCTCGTCACGACGAAAACCAAGCTCTGATACCAACTCTTGGTTTGGGTATAGCCTCCGGCTAGCGTTGAAGGTAGTAAATGCTAGGAGAGAATTTCTGGTTTTTCAAGACTGATTTCACTCAAAACAGAGAAGTACACAAAATGATTGAAAACAAACACATTTAAGCATTTCGAATTGTGATGTGCGCCTCGCGTAACGCGTCATCCGCGTTTCAGCCCGAGTCGCACGCGGAACCGATTTCGGTAACCGACACTGGAACCGAAACCTGTTTGTCCCTTCCGCACCGAACACGGTTCGGTTGTGGTTGGACATTTTAGGCTACGGAAATTTCTTCTCGACATTTCCGAACCCTAGTCTTGTTTCTTCTCGCTTTCTTCACGTCTTCCTTCCTTAGCTCCTCCGTGTGCTGCCCCACCGTTATAGCTGTAGTTTCTCCCCATTAGGTTGACAGTTCCCATCGTTCCTAGTGTTGTTCTACCGTCCCTAGGTGAAGCGCGTAGGTCGGTAGGCACTAGGGCAGTGGCAAACCACCCTAACAACTGCAACGTAAGTGCCTTGCTGCGGTTCATGGTAATTCGCTTAGTGTTTTTATTGATTCAAGTGTGCTCTACCGAGTGTGTGTATCGAGATACTAATTTGCTTTGCTCGTTGTCCTTTAATCCTTATGTGCAGACGTGGCTGGGAAGTGCGTGGAGTTCTGGATGTTCGTCGGCATGAGTATGCCATCGACGTGCGCTACATAATCAACGCGGACCAGACGCCTCTTTGGCTTGACAAGCCGGCGATAGCCACCGTGGAGCAAACGGGCATGATGAAGGTGCCCATCAGGAGCGGTGGGTACCAGAAAGAACAAGTCACCGTGATGCTGGCCTGCACTGCAACGGGGGAGAAGCTGAAGCCGTGGGTGTTCTTCAAATGCAAGTTAGTACCAAAGGGTGATTTTTTTAACAGTAAGCTTTGAGGTTTTAAGTTTGTGTGACTGTTTTAAGACAAATTTGAGCTAATCATTGAATTTTGTTGCTTGTGCGCAGATTTGGTCATCGGCTGCCACGGTAACGGCTGGATGAAAGCCAAGAATGTCATCTAGTGACTTGATGAGGCAGTGATGTCGTTCCTCTCGCCCAAGTTTGGCATCCGGGTGCGGAGCGCATTGCTAGTTTTGGACTCCTATCGAGGCCATCTGACGGACGACGTCCAGAAAAAGTTTGCCAGTGAAACATCGTGCCGGTAGTCATCCCGACGGACTGCACGGCAGCCTTGTAGCCCCTCGATGTGTCCAACAACAAGAGCTTCAAGGCGTCGGTGCGCCAGCAGTACCAGGCCTGGTTCGTGCAAGACGACATGAACACCTTGACCATATGAGGTGAGCGGTGTAATAACAAACTTGCCCATTGTTATTTACTAATTTGCTCTCCCCTCCGTTTTTTTTTTTATGTCGAGGCTACATAAAAAAACCTCTACTCGTGGT